TAGAAGAACTCTTTCTTTATTTTTACACACCTGTAGAGCTCAGATGAAATCCTTACTTTGCATGAATGTGGTTTCTTTGAAACGTTCGACTTTAATGAATCCTTGTCGTCCATAATTCATGCATTAAGGTGATTTATCACTAAGTCATTTTTATGACGTTACTGGCATGCATAGATGGTCTCGCCACACAACTTCTTCTTGCCTTTGTAAAACAGAAACTAGAACAGGTAACTAAATTATGAGCTGTAGAACTGAGTGATGTGAAGTTGTACTTGTTCCCAACAGGAGGGTGGATGACTAAAATGGTTCTTCTCTCTCTCTTTCTCCATCACCAATAATGTGGGCTTCTGTTACTGTTAAAATAAAGAGCATCGCTTTCTTTCTGTCCTGCTGTCCAGCCCTCCACCACACTGTGGTGCTTAAAGTCAGGCACTTACTCTTCATCTGTTTTAATGATTATTCATGTGCTTGACAAGAGAAAAATTATAAATAAAAGCTAAATCAGATGCTTTATAAGTGTATCTGTCATTTTTGACCATAGAGAAGTAAAATCAGTGAGTTCTCGTGTTCACTGGATGCATCGATGGCATCTTCTAGATTGTACCAACTGGTCTCAGCTGAAAATGTCCGACTACTGAGCAGTGCCTCAGATCAGGGTCTAACACAGACAGGAACTGCACCGTGTCTTTCTGTTGGAGATAACATTCAGTTCATCATTTGTGGAGAACTCAGCTGTGACTTCACCTGCGAGTGCACCTCAGTGATCCTGCTGAGGCTGCTGACGGTCCAGCACTGATCCTGAACACTCATATCAGTACCTGCAGATGGGTCAACAGTACATGGAGTCCTCCCTGGTCGAGGTGCGTCCACTAGGTGGCGTGGGTTGACATTTCTCTGCTTATTTGAATTACCTCCAGAGACCGGCAGTGGTGCTTAACTTCTATCTTAAAAATGGGTCATTTCTTTCTTCCTAGAAGGCGTCACACATCAATACAAAGTGCAGCACAAAAGTAGTTCAACAGACACCTGCTAGTGTCTGCAGGTCTCTCATTTACATCCAGACAGAAACAGGAAGTGAGAGACGTTAGGAGGACTTTAACACAGCGGTGTGTAACAAATCCAGCATTATTATGTTTTTTGAAGATTTTTTAAAAATAGCTACAGATCATTCTGGTCCATGTTGGTTTATTCTTATGTGTGACAATCATTTAAATGTACTTTAATTAGGCTGGAGTGGAAGTGAACTGGAACCAGGAGAAGGGCACAAATACACAATCAATTTTACATAAAGGCTAAAAGTTAGCGTCAAAGTCAACATTAGTTTCCCCTAATTTCCATCCATACCATCCTACACATGGCTTCATCGTCTGTAGGGTGATCAGGGGCTGGAGTCTATCCCAGCTGAAGGCAGGTTCACCTGGACAGGTAACCAGTCTATCACAGGGCTACACTTAGAGACAGACAACCAAGCACACTCACATTCACACCTACGGACNTTCCTCTCTTTATCTGGAGATAAGATACTTACTTTTCAGATAAAGCATATTATGATAAATCAAATAAGCTTTGTCGCTTTTGTGCTTCTGGGTGTTGATGTGTGAGAGAAGACTTTAGGGAATCTGTGTGTGTGTGTGTGTGTGTGTGTGTGTGTGTGTGTGTGTGCAGCTGTTTAGTGGATAGATGTCATCTGCCAGTTATGTGTGAATGTATGAACTGAAGCAGATGTGCAGCAGGTGAATTGTTCAGGAGGTAAAAGGAAGGCGACTGAGGAGGAGCTGAAGGAGACTGAAATGTTCACGACTGTCATCATTTCTATGATCAGCAGCTAAATAAGTGAACATTTTTTCTATTTATGTTTCTGGAAATTTGTTCAAAATGCAGAACATTTTATTTTATTATAGTGTAGATTTTTTATTTTTATTTTTTTAATAGATTGACCCAAAAGATTAATTCCTATCAAAGACAAATGACTTAGATGTGGCTGTAATAAACTATGGAGGCATAAGTTCACTTTGTCGTATTATGTAGCCTGTTGCTATGGTTTAACTTGTGCGCTTGCGTGCTGTGTGCGCCCGTGTGTGTGTGTGTGTGTGTGTGTGTGTGTGTGTGTGTGTGTGTGTGTGTGTGTGGGAGGGGTTTGCTGGAGCCACTTGCTCCCTCTAATTAGCAGCGTGTGCCGGTAAAGAAACTCAGTGGAGCGACCTCACCAAGGCGCAAAGGCATCCAGGGGCCACTTCACCTGCGGGATGAGTGTGACTGTGTGAAAGCAGACTTGGAGGAGCAGCAGTCCGGATGCTCTGTGCGCTGCAGAGTGCTCTGCTGCTAAGCTGACAGTCGGGTAAAGCTGAAAGTGCGTCTAAAAAAAAGAAAAGAAAAAAAAAGAATAATACTCTTTGACGGTTCTCCGGTGAACGTCCCGCTTCTCTCCGCGGCGGGTTTGGATCGGACGCACTGACTTGTTGGCCCAGCTGAGCTCTGAGGGGCCCACGGTTGCGTTGTTGCGTGTCCGACCTACAAGTCTGCGACAGGACTTAAAAGCCTGCTGCAAGGATGATGTCCTACATAAAGCAGCCCCATTACACCATGAATGGGTTAAATTTGCCCGGCCCCGGGATGGACGTGCTGCACACCACCGTCGCTTATCCACGTAAGTTCAAACTTTAACAAATGTTTTTATTTTGAAAAACGACCTGTTTTTATGTGTGTATATTTATTTACGCGTTCGTCTCCGTCTGACCTCGCTGTTTACAGAACCAAGTCCGTCCATCGCGGTGCGTAAAAGCGCACGGGCTGGTGCGTAACGGCGCAGCCAAAGGAAAATAAAATAACCAAAATAAACAATTTGTCCTGTAAAATCCTCTGCGTTGATGAAAAGTTTGGATTACAAAGAGAATAAATGTAGAATGTAATTGTGACTGTAACCCTGATTTGTGCCAAAGACAAACGGAATATATCAGGACAACCGTGAGAGAGGAACCGATGCCAAGTTGTTCTTCATGAAAACTTCTTTTAATTTCCACTCTCTGTGGAAACCGTGTTACTGCGGATACATCAGCTCTAAACACATAACATCGACCTTTTTAAAGTGAAAACGAGCCACCAGATCGGACACTGATTTGTTTTTTAATCTTTTTTTCAAAGTTTCTCACGTCGTTAACAGATAAATATGTCATAACTCTAGTTGGAAACATTCGCTTTTTTTAATGCCAAATTACTCTGACTGCATGTAGTGACTCCTCACTGTACTGGTTCTGATACAAACACACCCAAACGTCTGGCTGTGTGTCCCACAGAGGACAGACGGACAACTGGACAAACTATAATTAAACAAGTGTCCCGTCTAACCATGTAGAGCTGATACAGCATTTCCATATTCTTTGTTTCCATGCCAGTGGACAAAGTCAGGACCCTAAACAGTCCCACAGTGTACTGAGAAGTTTCCATTAGTATTTGTTACCATTCTGATACCCACAAGCACAAAATGAAACTACCCAAAAATCACTTCAATGGCTGCCATGTTCCCTTTCTAAAGAGATGTTCATCATTCACAGCGAGCTGTGCTCATAATTCATGTCAACTCTCTCTCACTGCCAGCTTGATAATCCCCTCTGTGTGTCTCTTGGGTTTGCAGCCACTCCCCGGAAGCAGCGCAGAGAGCGCACCACCTTCACCCGGACACAGCTGGACATCCTGGAGGCGCTGTTCTCCAAGACCCGCTACCCAGACATCTTCATGAGGGAGGAGGTGGCCCTCAAGATCAACCTGCCCGAGTCACGTGTGCAGGTAGAGCAGAAGTAGGCTGCAGGCAGCATGGAGGCTTTTCATAGAGAGAACAGAATGTTTTAGGAGATGTAAAGGCAGCCAGAAGCTTCTAAAGAAGCAGGACAACAGTGTGTCTGGATTATATCCTACATGTCAGTCTGTGATGTGACTTTGCTGAGGGGACACGTTTCTGCTGGACCCTCTGATTGTTGTAGACTCAGGAGGTATCTGTCCATGGCTCAGGACGGTTTTCTGTTCTTACACATTGTGTCTTCTTCTGTGTATCTTCAGGTTTGGTTTAAAAACCGCCGTGCCAAGTGCCGCCAGCAGCAGCAGCAGAGCACCGGCCAGTCTAAGCCCCGCCCCCCTAAGAAGAAGGCCTCACCAGTGCAGGAACCCAGTGCCCCTGATCCTGTTCCTAACCCATCTGGCTCTTATAGCCCCACTTCAGCCCAATCAGGGCCCAGCCTGGCTCCAAGCTCCAGCACTGGGAACACCGCCGTGTCCATCTGGAGCCCAGCCATCTCACCCTTGCCTGATCCTCTGGCCTCCTCCTCGGCGCCCTGCATGCAGCGGCCCTCACCGTATCCTATGAGCTATGGCCAGCCGTCAGCCTACACCCAGGGCTACGCCAGCACCACCTCCTACTTCACCGGCCTGGACTGCAGTGCCTACCTGTCCCCCATGCACTCGCAGCTGTCAGGCACCGGGGGCGCTCTCAGTCCCATCACTGTGCCCTCTATGGGGGGCTCCCTGAGCCAATCCCCAGCATCGCTGTCCTCACAGGGCTACAGCACTGCCTCCTCCCTGGGCTTCACCTCTGTTGACTGCCTTGACTACAAGGACCAGCAGGCCTGGAAACTGGGCTTCACCACAATGGACTGCCTGGATCACAAGGACCAAAACTCCTGGAAGTTCCAGGTCCTCTAGAAAGCATCAAGAGTGGCGTTCAAACGTGTGTTGACATGTCACATGTGTCAATGAGTCCCATATGAGATAGTGTGAAGCAGTTCTGCCAGAGGACTTGTTGTCTTGGATGCTGAGTTTCTTGTTTGTAAGATTTTGTTTTTAATTTCTCAGAGTGACCTCTGTACAAATGCATTTTATCTGAATGATGTGGAGATGAAGGGACTGGTGACTGTCATCGATGCTGCCTGACTGGACATCATGTCTGTTGTCTTCTTCATGCTGTGTTGATTAAGAGAAGAAACGCCTTTGTAGGAAAAGACTGGACTCCTACGTATGAAAACAGAGCCATCCCTCTCTCTCTCACACACACACACACACACTTCATTTTGTTTTAAACTTGCATCATTATCATAGAGTGGAAGCTGTTTGGACGTGGAGGAGCTCCTCCGTCCTGTAGGTCTCGTCCTCCTTCAGGGTTACATTATTTTAAGCTATTTATTATCATTTTATGCCACTTAAACATGTAATATGGTTGCATTTAGAGTCATTTTGAGCATTTGTGTTACGTATTACAGTGTTAGCCTTTAGCGTTATCATTTTGATCTGTTTGAAGAAAAAAAATTAGAGTTTCTGTTTTAGCTGTGTGACATATTAAAGTGATGGAATCTTTCTACGTCTGATCATCATTGAGATGAGTTCGAGTTTAGAAGCAGATCCTGAGCTGGGGGTCGTGTGACCAGGAGCGTGGATGTGAGGCGGCCGTGTTGTAGTTGGGTCTGGACCCGTCATGTTGGACATACGGCCTGCATGGCTCTCACTGGTCCGTCTTGGTTATTTTAGCTTATCTGATTCTGGGAGTGTCCCAATCCTCTTAGCCTCCCTTCAGCAATGCCCTAAGTGAATTAGTTAGGATTATTGCCCTATCCCCCTCTGTCTCTCACCCACCTCAGCCTCTTCCTCCCTCCCATTCCTGGCTCTCTCCTTGTTTTCCCTCCATCTTTTCTATCTTTGTCTCCTTCAGCTCTGCAGTATCACCTTTCCTCTACCTCAACCTGTTTCCTCTCTTCAGGATGTATGTTTTTTTGCCTCAGTTCAGATGTATGTCTCTTGTCCTGTGTTCCCCCAAAGCACACCTGGATCACTGACCACAGAGCAGTTTAATAAAGCCTTTTAACTACTCTGGTCTCAGCTCTCAGATCACTGTGGGTTCAGCGGGTTCCCCTTCTTTCAGGCCTACCACTCCACCAATCTCCCCAACTCCTCTGACAACTCAGTAATCCCCAAATGACCTGATTACTGCCACGCCAACTCAGCTATGACACCAAATGTGCCACAAATATTGATGGAAGTGTGTATAGTTATTGTTTTGTGGGACTTTTGTTGAGAGGACGATGGTCACAGAGGATTCCTTCTCATTACTGAACAAACGCTGCCTTCATCACTAGACAACCATCTTTCTGATGTCCACTACATGCAGACCATGGGCTTTAAGGTGCATTTATTGTTGGCCTTTTTGGCCCAGTTATCATAAATCAGATGAACCCTTGGTCTTCACACAGCGTCTTGTCAGATCAGAATAAAACTGTACCTGTGATATCAGCTAAACTTCTACACAAGGCCTGCTAGAGCATCACTCCTCAGACAGTTATGGTGACAGAAATAATAAGAACCTGTTTCATTTCTTTTAAATATGATCTCTGTCCTCAACCCTGATAAACGTAGTGCACTGAGAGAAGTAAACAGGCAGCGACAGACATTTCAAAGCATTTTTCTGCACTCAACGCTGACCTAATCCCACTCAGCGCTCGCTGTAATCCCTCTGCCCTCCCTCTCCGTGGTGCGATTGGTTAATCCCTGCGTCTGCATGCCCTGATTGGTTAACCTCTCTCGGAGGGTGCAGTGCACTCGTAATCTTCCCCCTCAGCACTGAGTGTTTCAGACGGACATTTGCGCTGTAATCCCAGGGAGGAGCAGATGTGATGGGGGATGGACGGCGCTGAGCAGACCTTGAGGAAGGTGAACGCCAGAAAACTAAAACACCACACGCAGTCCGAGAAGGAAAGTTTCAGACGGAAAAAAAAAAGGAGGAAAGAAATGAATTTACAAAGTTTGAATATGATTAAAAGTTATGTTTACAGGCCAGATACACACAAACAGGAAGAAGGTAAAAATCCACCAACATACGTGAATCAGTGACTCCTGCAGCAGATACCAAAGGGTTCAGGAACCCAGTGAGTCTGAGCCGGCTCCAACTGTGGTGACGCAGGGGAGAGCAAATCACAAAAACAACGAAAAGTTAACTAAAAGTAAAGGATAAGATGTCTGAAATAGGTCAACACTGAATAAAAGGTCATTTCACACAGATTCACATGAAAGCTAAAAGCAAACAGTTTAATAAAGCAGTGATGCTGCTGTTCATTTCCTCCTGATTCATCCTCATCTATCAAGTTTTTCACATTTACAGTAAACACAGCTTCGTTTGATGCAATGTCAGATTAATGATAACCACGGTCTGGGTTCATTCAACATGTATGTTTCAAACCAAAACACTCTGAATGGTCAGAAATGTTTTGATCACATGTTTTAATTTTATGCAATAATTAAAGTGATAGTAACTAATTGAAGTAATAGGATTTTAAAATGGCTTCCATTATATATATTTATGATTCTGCTCCAGCAGCAGCCATAGAAAAGCAGATAAACGTAAATATAATGAACAAACATTGGCGGTATCCTGAGGTATTACGTGTAATGGATAAACGGCTGAAACATCTAGAAATGTTAGCAGTAAGAACACAAACGTCACTAAATGTTGTCTGTCCAACTGCACACAAACCCGGTAACAACACCGACTTTTAAATATTTACCTGTCAAATGCAGACACCTCATGAGCTGTGTCTATAAGTTCTGATCTAAAAATAAATGAAATGTGGCATTCAACCTGCTGTCACATGACCAAAAGCCAAGGTGAAAAAGAATTTAACTATGCAAATTTAATTTATTTATTGGATCTCCTTATTTATTAAATCCCTAAATCATATTTTGAGACAGCAGCAAG